ACCAGAACATTGGAAAGAATATAAATCGGCCCGAAAAACGTACAAGAAAGTCATCAGACAATCACAAAGAGACAGTTGGCGTGACTTCTGCGAGGATATGAATACAATATCCTCAGCAGCAAGACTTTGTGAAGTTTCATCGAAAAAAAGGGAAGAAGGTGTAGGTGTGATGTCCTTACCCAATGGAAGTGAAACTACATCGGCGGAAGAGACATGACAACACCTAATATCCACACACTTTCCCGACTCAGAATTTACCAATGAACCACCTATGAGGACGAATCCAGTGAGGAGAACTCACATGGATTACAAAACGGCCTCAAGGGTGGTTACATATGAGAAAGTGAAATGGGCCATAAAGTCTTTCGCACCATTCAAATCGCCGGGTGTGGATGGTATATTACCGGCCCTCCTCCAAGAAGGACTGGATGCCATCATACACCTGCTTATGAAGATACTACGATCCTGTCTGGCTCTGGGCTACATACCAGTGGAATGAAGATCAGTCAGGATCGTTATTTATCCCAAAACCAGGGAAAAATAGATAATTCCCAGGCCAAAGCGTATCGACCTATCAGTCTGACGTCCTTTCTCATGAAGACGTTGGAAAGGCTGATAGATCGACACATCAGAGAAGAGCCGTTGCAAACGTATCCACTGCATGAGCAGCAATTTGCCTACCAAACTGGAAAGTCCACAGACGCAGCTCTCCATCATCTTATTCGAAGGGTGGAGAGAGTGCTAGCTTGTGGACGATCTGCCATAGGGGTCTTCTTAGACATAGAAGGGGCATTTGATAATACGTCATTTGAGTCCATCTGCTCCGCTGCGGAGAGGCATGGAACTAACCCAACTTTGATTAGGTGGATTCGGGCCATGCTATCACAGCGAGTAGTAAGAGCAGAATTAAGTGGGAGTTCTATGACCGCCAGAGTATCGAGAGGGTGCCCTCATGGTGGGGTGTTATCACCGGTCCTATGGTGCCTGGTGGTCAATGAGCTCCTCACAACACTCAATGATTCAGGGATATATGCGCAAGCATATGCAGATGACTTGGTTATTATGGTTCAAGGCCAACCAGTGAATCACCTAGGGAACTCCATGATGGGAGCTCTCAGGAAAGTGGAACAGTGGTGCTCCGCCGGTGGACTGGGAGTGAATCCTGAAAAAGCAGATCTGGTGTTATTCACCAAGAAACGTAAAATAGGGACACTTCCAGAGGTTTTTCTCACAGGAAGGTGTCTTCAATACAAAAGCTCAACCAAATATCTTGGAGTCACAATCGACTCCAAGTTGACCTGGAATGAGCATATAGGTAATCGCACCAAGAAGGCTATATGCTGCTACTGGGCATGCAGAAGAGCCTTCGGGAAAACGTGGGCCGATCACCTAAGACCCTTCACTGGATATACACGGCAAGTATTCGCCCAACACTAACGTACGGGTCCATCGTATGGTGGACTAGTACTAAAAAGAGCAAAACCAGACATGAACTGGATAGAGTTCAGCGACTGGCTTGTTTGGGAATGACAGGTGCTATGGGGACAGCGCCTACTAGGGCCCTTGAGGTCCTACTAGGTCTCCCCATTTACATCTGATTGTAGAGCATGAAGTCATGCGCACTGCCTACAGACTCGAAGGTGCAAACCAATGGATCGAAAAGGCAGACTATGGACACTCCCTAATATGAAACAAGGCCGAAGAAAGCTGTCCCAGTCTGCTGATGGTAAGGGACAGCACTCTGCCAGTTCTGAATTCCAATAAAGCTTTGCATGTCATTTTTCCTACAAGAGAGGAATGGACTGGCGATACACCAGGCTTACTTCCTTCCAACGAATCAACCTGGTTCACGGATGGCTCAAGGTTTGGTGGCGGGTCTGGTGCAGGAGTATATGAAGGAGGAACAGGGAGAGGAATCTCAGTACCTCTTGGCAAATACGCTTCAGTGTTCCAGGCCGAAGTGTTTGAAATTCTGAGGTGTGTCCAAGAAAATTTCGGTAGAAGTGGACGTGGACCAGTCACCATATGCTCGGACAGTAAAGCTGCTATTATGGCATTGAGATCCAATAGGATCACAACTGAATTGGTGTCCGAGTGTAGAAGTGCCTTAGAAAATATGGCAAAAACTAGGAAAGTCAGCCTCATGTGGGTTCCAGGACACTCTGGTATCCCGGGGAACGAGGAGGCAGACAGACTAGCCAAGATCGGTTCAGGAATGACACCCATTGGACCAGAACCGATATTGGGAATACCCAATAGTACGGCTATGTCCTCCATGAAGAAAATGCTGCAGAGGCAGTTCCTTGAAACATGGTGGGACACACCAGGAATGAGACAATCAAAGCTAGAGCAACTACGAATATTGAATGAAATCTTACCAAACGAATCATACTTGATCAATTATGCCACATTAGGTAACAATAGTTCAATACATAGCACAACAGGATTTACCCCATTCGAACTCGTTTTTGGACATACCGACTCTAGGAGCGCAGATGAGATTTTCGTACCTGAAGAAGTATTTTCAGCATATATTCAAGATAACAAACAGAAAATCTACCCAGTATATAACAAAGTGAAAGAGAAGCTTCAAACTCGAAGAGAAACTATCATATGTTAATCAAATATCAAAGGCGATGCAAATGACGAATTCAAATCAAATCAGAAGGTGTATAAGAAAAATCCGTTGAACAGAAATGAAAAAAATTAAAAAATTTTAGGTCCATATACTATAACCAGAATGTTAGAACACAATGAAGTCGAAATAAAGAATAAGAAAGGCAAGACAGAAATCATCCACATTTCAAGAACTAGGAAAACCCGTTACGTTACAGGCTCGAAATGAAGAGACTGATACTCCTTCAGCTGATGATCGTGCTGGTTCAAGCTCACGAGATTGAACTGAATGAATGAACTCCTATTGAAACTAGGCCAATCTAAAACCAGTGAACATGTATTTATCAATGAAATTGATCTAAAATTCATAGAAAACGAAATTAACAAATCAATTGAAAGCTATCGAAACCCCAAATATCTCACTGGTAACCAATCTAGATATGTTTATACCCTGAAGAATACCTATGAGAATTTGGAACCTATCATCAAAGGAGTCACAAATGAGTTCAATAAAATATATCACCCAGAATACCTCAGAAATAGGAGAGGTTTGATCAATGCAAAAGGAACAGTACAGAAGTTTCTCATCAGTACACTTGATTCTTCAGAAGGCGAAAGATACGATCTTGCTATCACAACTTCGAAAGAAAATCAACAAAAAAATCGTTAAAGATGTCACTATACAAATTTCATTATCCAAACAATTAATCTCCTGAAGATGAAGAAGAAGCCATCAGAGGTCAAAATCAAGATCGAAGATAATCATCAATCAGTCCGATCGCCTTCGGTCCTGTTCCAGCCCGAAGCCGTCTCTTAAGGGGGGAGGAGTTACATCGAGCGGTCCCACGGTACCGAGCAAGAAACAACACTTTCCAGGCCGTTTCCCAGAAAGCAGCGAGATCAGCAGATTCATATTTCGTCTCTCAAGATCAACCGACATTATAAATACATGTGTAATTCATTTTTCCAACGATTTTGACCGTATACCTTGTCCAGTGAACAGAATGAACGTTTTTTGAAAAGTCTTTTGCCCGTTTTTCGAAAATAACTAGCGAATTGATCTGATCAAGAGGTTCTTCGTGTGAGTGTGAATATTCCTTTTGGGCTCCTAGAGCGTGTTATTCCGCCCTGCACGTGACTATTGGTCTCATAGTATCAAACAATGAGGAACACAATTGTTAAACTTGAAAACTAGCAATTGGTTTCAAAACAGGTGAAATAGCAGGAATCATGAATCTTTCAAGAAATAACCACAAAGGTACTTGGAGATAGTTTTTGTCACGAGTCGCTCACTTGGATAATGAAATCTGCTCAATTCGTGCGCTCATTTCTTCAGCTCTTTTGTTTTTTTTGCTCGATATTGCTTCTGCGGCTCATCATCCTTTTCATTATGCCTAACGGTCAACTTGCTCCTAATTTATGTTTTTTGTCTCGTTCCCAAGCTAGTTGATCAGAATTTGCCACTTGCTTGCGATTTTGTTGTTGTGACTAACGAATTTTAGTGCTTAATATTGCTATGTTATTGATTATGGATATTGCTTGATTGCTACATTATTTCTCTTATGTTTATCGCGTTAGGTTGCTACTGACTCACCTCCTATCAGTTTTTGGTGGCTAGTGATTAATATTGCTTATACTATCGCAATTTCTTTGCTCTCATCGTTCAATTTTGCTATTGGCAGATATTTTGTTCAGTTGTTGCTTACTACCGCTTCTATTTCCTCTTTTTTTTCGTCATCTACCATTGTTGTTTATGTTATGAACATATATAAGCATAACTTCGAGCTCTTTGTATTCATTCAACTCTGCAATACACTTCGAGCGATGTAGCCATTTCATAGTTGACACTCATTTCATATCAGATTACCAGATAACAGCTTCCCACGATTTTTATATCATAAGAAGTAGAATCACCATTGATCATATTTGTTTTCTTGTCGTTCAATCTATAGCAGTAGTCTACTCGAAGTTGTGAATGACGTTTCAAGTGATAGTTCGTTCTTGAATGAAGTAGGTACATAACTTGTTTGAGTAGAGAAGTGTTTTCGAAAAAGTGAATTTTCAAAGTATAGAGGAAACTAATGTATTCGTTGTTAGAGACCTACCTGCTTATAAACGAATAATATCAATTTTATCGCATATACTTGAGAATAATGATTAGAAAAATAATCATCAGTTTCATAGTCATTCGAATAATATGCAATTATCTATTGAGTTTCGTTTTATATCTCTTCGTGGAATTCCATTATTTTCCCAAGCACTCAGTGCATCATAACAAAAGTAGAATGTATGGGTAATGCATATTATAATAGTAGGAAGCTGGGAGTTGCGGTTTCTTCAATTGATTCAACCTTGTAGATTATGTAGGTATAAAATATCAAACAGAGAATTATTGTTTATGTATATACCTATTCATTCAAAGATTGATTCAAGACCTCAGTGAAGTAATAACTGGAGATGAAACTGTTTGTTATTTTCATACTTTTGACCTTATTTTTCGTGATTGATTGTTACGGTGATGAGATATTGGAATATCAGAGGAATCAAAATGAGCATGGATATCATTTCAAGTGAGTTCTTCATGAAATAGCATACACTTGAGAATACTGTCTGTAGGTAATGCGAATAGGCGGAACATTCATTTCTCTAGATAATTGGGGTTGCTTCTCCTTACTGAGAAGCGTGAATAAACAAAAACGAAGATTCCGGAATCAGGAATTATTTTTTGATTAGATGTTTGGGACAGGAGCAGTTCCGCTTTCAAAACTCCTAAATATAAGGGGAATTCTATATTATTCAATACCACCTATACTCTTCGTCTTCTTCGACGTGTCATCGATATGACTTCAAACATTTTTTCGAACAAAGTGTCACTGACAAGCTACTAGATTTTTATTCTAGGCTCCCTGATAAAAAAAATTTTTGAAAGCAGTGACATTTTGGGGCAAATCATCTGATTTGATCCACTACAAATATATTGAAATAATACGCATATTTTTTTTTTCATAAAAACGAGTAGAAAATCCCAAAGAATCGAGTAAAATGAATGAACCACCTCCTCGATTAACCTACAGACAGTATTGATGAAACTGCTTGACTTATATCCTGAATGAATATCACAATTTCACAAATAACCTCTTCACCATACCAACTCACTTCACAGGCATATACACATAATGATAACTGAGTACTCATCTCAGTAGGTGATCTAAACTCTACACTCTATAATATCTATACTGATATAACTGATGATGATATATGGTTAAAGAAATATGCATATGAGTTGGGAGTAGGCTAGTGTGAGGAAAGAGTTATTTGGCAATTTTTGATTGTGTGGGTAAAATGTAACAGACACAGATTAGTCATAAAATGATTGATGGTTTATTATTTCCTATTTAATTTAGTATTTACTCCAATTTTCCCCACATGGTACAAAAGAACTCTGCTCAGGAATTTCAAAGACTTTCTGTTCCAAATATTATGAGTACACAGTATAATTCATCAGTTGCTAATTTAAAAACAAAAAAATTGTGAAAAAATTATAGACTGAATAATATTCAAATGGAATAAAATGGAATGTCCTGAACAGAAAATGACAAGACAACATCAACTATCAAATGTAAAACATGACCTACAACTCTCTTTGGAAATAGTGAGACCTATTATGTATTCTTCAAATGCTCAAAAAATCAAAATTGTGTGTAATTAACTTATCTCTTTCTTCTTCATCTCCCTATTCAACCCTCCATTTAACCTCTGGGGACTTGATCAGGACCACTCGCCTGCTAGTTTATCAGAGTGAGATATGGAGTAGTGTGTGATGATGATGGACTCTGAAGAAATATTGAGTTTTTTTTCCATTTTTCAAATAAAAATCTGAAATATATTTTACCAGAAATTGATATTTTGATATGGATGTCAAATCTCTGACTTCAATGTTTCCCCTCTGCCCATACCAGGAACATATTATCGTGTGGTCATTTCATTGGTAAACAAGGCTCCTTCTTAGATAGTCTCTTCCATCACTACCACCTTGACTTTTGAAGAGACATACCTACCTAGAGAAGTAAACAGTTCAGAATCCAACTTATTGGGGTTCGCCATAAACTTTTTCATGAAACAAAAAATCATAATCACTGACAAAATCTTCAGATTTCCATAACCAATGATATATCTTCAATCCAGAATGTGGGGTTTTCATCAGCCATCATAATCAATCAGTGGCTGTTGTTCAAATGAGAATTGAAGATTGACCAGATTTCTCCTTGGATTCTATCAATACCTACCTACCAAAGTCTGACAGTGATCACTTCTAGATATTCAAGAAGTCGAGGAGAGATTACTTACTATTTCTCATCCACCTCCACTTATCCTTATTGACACTTTTGAGTTCGTCAAACACAGCAGAAAAATGGTTTAAAACAAGAAAAACACTCGAAATAGTTATAAAATACCGAAAATGTCTTCAGTCCCCAAATCTCCACATGTCACTCATAACTTATAACCACAAAGTAGTCAACCAATGGGAATTGGGAATGTGGGAAGGGGGAACGCTACAGCGAAGAAAAATTGTTGGAACAAGAATAACACTCGAAATAGTTATTTAATGACGAAAATGCCTCCAGTCTCCAAGTCTTCACTCATAACTCATAACCTCAAAGTAGTCAACCAATAGGAATTGGGAATGTGGGAAGGGAGAACGCTACAGCGCAAGACCAAAAAATAATAATCATCGCGGTTAAAAACATCATTGGAATAGTGAATCCCTATCGGCCTCAACAGTGAAACATGCTTCAAACACAGTTCTCTTTCAGAGAGTAAGGAGAATATCTCTTCTGCAAAGAAAAGAATACTGCTTTCCATAAACAAACTAACCTCTTACTCGTCCTTAATGAACCGTCTTTCTGAAATGTATATTTTTCGAAAAATCACTCGAGGAAACAGAATGAAGAAAGTCGCAGGTATTGATGACCCCAAACATAATCAGTATTGCCAAACAAATGATAAGATAAGTAGCAAAGTCATGTAGCTATTATAGGAGATAGCAGCTTTCATATTAAAAGCAAATTTTTACATATCAGTTACATCATAGTTACGTAAATTTTTTATATAAGTATGGGGTTCACATTTTTCAGAATTGTTATAGAATATTTATGTAAATATTTTGTATAAATACGAGGTTCACATATTTCAGAGTTATCATGGAATATTTATGTAAATATTTCATATACAAAAGCTCCGTTGATGTTATATAACAGTTATGTGAAGGTAACAGATGTGTTTGCTGGGTTTAATCTTGTTCTGGGACTATTATCACTACCAGGCTCTCATCACAGGGTTATAAATATGTCATTCCTCTGGGAATATTACAAGGGCTGTAGTGAGTGCTCCAGGGTTGTATATGCACGATTGTTGCAACATATATAGCTGTTATTACTGGGCGGTTAGTGCCCCAAGCTGTGACTGCTCAGTAGTAGGGTGCTACTAACCCTGCTCTGTTTCGTATTGTGGAGTATTCATCTCCAGGCTGACCTCTTGACTCATGTCATCATCAACATACATGATATTCTATTTATTTAACGGTTATAGTATGGAGTAGTCTGGGTACAGTACTTTGTTAGGTACTCAATCAAGTACTCGATTATTTCATTAAAATCACTCATTTCTCAGATGATCATATTTTGTCCTCTCTGATAGAGGTTGACTGAGGCGATTACCAAGGTGAAAGTATAGAAATTGCTCTAGTCTGAGAGTTTCATCAGAGCATATTCTGAAAACAATGATTTCCATATAAATGTACAGAGTGCTACCTTCCAAAAAAGTTACATATCTGGCAACTGAGGGTTCTATTTTATATTTTGATACACAAAATCGAAGTTATTCCCAAAAGGAAAGGTGTCAGATATTGAATGCATATGTGAGGATCGAGATCGAGATCGAGAATAGATATTTGTTATCAATATTCAATACCACTACATTCCACCAACCACCTCAACGCATCTCACTGCACACTGAATTAACCATTGTCTTTTTTCTTTTTCTTTTTTTTTTCAATCGACTTTGGCGTAACTTGATGGAAATTCATGGCAAATGTAAAAACAAAATTTTGTGGAAATCTGATCGATCGTGAAACCAGTATCTATTCCTTTCAGAACAAACTGTTTTTCATTTGAAGCTCCATCAAACTCAGTCTCCACATCAGGGTCAACAGGATCTCAGCATTCTTTTTCAAGGATTTCTATTCCTATCACTCCCCACCCTTCGAACAAAAATACAGTAGTGAAATGCTCCTCTCATGTAGATCAACATGATTAATATCCCCATCATCTCTCGGCAATCTTTTGTACAATCATGTTGTTATGATATACATATTATTGATTTCAAATCTCGAATCATGTTGCCCTGATCATTCTCAATCCAGAAGAAAAAACATGAACTATGAGACATTCATTCAAGAAATTATTGACAGCATCAGGATCCATAGTTCAAAAGAATCTGAATCTTCGTTAGTAGTGTTGTTGGAATTGCTGGTGCATGCAATTGACATCACAATGAAATGTAACTGAAACTAAAATAATAGTTCTTCATGAATAGTGATATCCTGGAATCAATACATAATTCATGATGATAATCCAATATTACACTAGCTCATAATTGAATATAACAATTTTTATCCAGGTACATAACGAGTAGTAGACAAGAAAGAGAAGAAACTGGAGTAATAGAAAATGTAGGAGGACAATTCATCATGCGAATCAAAGGATATTTTTCCTACTTCAACTTGGATGGTGACTTATATGAAGTTTCTTATACAGCTGATGAAGGAGGATATAGGTCTGAAGGACATTTAATACCATATTCTGATGAAAAACAGTCAGGAGAATCACATCCTCCTTTTCCAACATTGAGAATATCTCCAGCAGCATTGGCTTCTCTAGCAGGTGGTGGATTAGGATGAAATACTCAATTTATATGAGTACATGAATCATCGGATTGTATAAGCAGTCTTGCGCTACTTTGGTAGTATCATGTTTGTAAACTTATGATCGTATTCAGTTTCCTGTGTTCCCATCGTACTTTCCACAATGTTCGAATACAAATGCTGTAATGATTTTATCATCATTCCATTTATCATTATATTTCCTGCATTACAAATTATTTCATCAATCATCATATTATCAATATATCTACATACATGTTTTGAATCATTGCCTATAATTATTATAATTCAAATTCCATCTATCTTCAAATAAATTTCGATAGCATCTGTGCCATCTTTCGGTTGGTACCGCAACTTTTAAATATATTACAGGTTACTGAATCTGCCAAAATAGAATTCTCTCAGACGACATCGAGCTGTTTGTCAATAGTATCGATATTAAGAGTGCGTTGCGGAACGAAAAAGAATAACGTTAACGAAGAACTCAAAACTTCTTCTTTTTATCTGAACCACCAGAGAGAACAGTTCATAACGGAGAACGCAAGTCGGTGACAGTCTGGTATGATCGGATCAAATTAAAAATATCTGGATAATCTAAAATGATTCCGATGTAATATCGAGACTTATTAATCGTTGCAATCATCAGTAACTCTTTAATCAGTATATACTGCAGAATATAATGTCATAGGTTAATATAAATAGGTCTGATCGACGGCCATTTTATAAGTCACTAATAATCGTTTTCTTTTTGAAAAAAAGTCAATCATTCATTGAATCAATATTTGTATAAGATAAATCAGAACTTTTGATTCGTACACCTTTGATGTTAATAATATTCTTATGATTCAACGTTATTTCCTCTACGTTTCAACCGGACGTTTTCTTTCTCGTGTTTCGTATTTTTGTTTCAGCCACCTTTGAAGTTCTTCGTCGCAGTATATCCTATTATCAGAGGCTCTGCCATATTTTTGGGTATCTTGTCGCAGAACCTAGCGAAACGAGGACGAAAGATGAAGTTGGAGATTGTCAGCTCATGGAATGCAAGCTCCATTGAACTTTTGAAGGGTGAGTAAGAATTTTGCTTCTTTTTTTTTTGGGTGTATGATAAATTTGCATTCATCATACAGGGCGTGGAAAGAATAAACTAAAAAAGAGTAGATATTCTCATCACATAGAGAATTCGAATTCTCAATGTATTGCTCCATATAAATATATATCCATTTTTGTATGTCCAAAATCTATCTGAGAATTTTCCTTTTCAAGAATTATTCTTTTGTATTTTCCAAGTATTTTCTGGGTTATACCATATTTTTGGGAAAACATCTTACCTACTCAAGCTACAAGTAATTCATTTTCTGACAAACCTGTCACTTGTACATGTGATCTCACATTTGAGTTACATTTATTCTCGTATTTTAAATTATAAATTTAATAATTATATACAATTTGCATCACATGAATATATTATTATTCTCTCATTAAAATTTCATCGATTCGATTATACTCAGTTTGCACCAGGCGTGATTTCTAAATATCGTTTGTTTATCTATTTATTTCTTCACTATATGGGTTGTCTTTGGTTATTTTGGTTCAGATCTTGATGAGATCATCTTGATATCACTATCTCAACTACTCACTACCTTTTTACAATACCACCACTTGTTTTCACACACATTACCCAAACGAGGTGATTGCTGCCTTCACCCTGGCTCGACGACTCGACCCATTTTCCATTGCAATGGTGATATGGCCTCTCGTAACCCAACCATAGAACCGACCTTGAGTTGATCAGGTTTTCTTTGTTGCCACTTGTAACGTGACTGTAGGGACTGCAAATATTCGTGGGTCCAACGGGACCAGAAATGTTGTACCGTTTGCTGCAGCCGCAAGTATTTGGTAAGTCTGTTGGCTGGAATCTCCATGACATCACGTTGTGGTACAGCTTTTAGTGCATTCCCAATCAAGAAATGCCCAGGGCTTGAAGGTGTAAGGTCATTAGGGTCTTGGCATAGAGGGTTCAAAGGTCTAGAATTTGAAATGACTTCCACCTGCGCAAATACTGTGGACAACTCTTCGAAAGTTAGATTAACCCCGCTAATAATAATAATAATAATAATGATAATGTTTATTTACCAAGAAAAATAGTTCGACAGCAACAATAGGTGGGTACATTGATCAGATATTATATTAACGTAGTGATCTATCACTGAAAAATTGGGATGAAGTGAGCCACAAAAACCGAAGTAGCGCGTGGTACTGTCCACAATCTTCAGTGAGTTTGTGAGATCGTGATGTGCTATTAAAAATTATATTGTATTATATAATACCTATTCACCTAATTAATTGAGTGTGATGGATGAATAAATAAACATAGATAGCCCACAAAAACCGAAGTTGTACGTGAGATTTAACTTTTCAAGAGTTAATAGTTAGAATCTATAATGAAAGCATGACATAACAAAATGATAGGTAGTGGGAATGATAACAATGATGATAGCATTTAAAGTAATGGTGATAATAATTTCAATAATAATGATGAACAATATAAATAAATATTATGAGTTATAATAATGTAATTATTACAATGCATGGACAAAATATTAAGATATATAGATGTTGATATTTGAATACGAGATTTTTTATTTTAATGAACATAATTGAAGTAGAAACGAATAGGAGATGGGATAAAACAGCCTTAGGATAATAATGAATCTATGATACGTCTATCAGTTTGGAGTATATAAATTTTCAGTTTCTTTTTGAATAGATATTTTGAATGTATATTATAATAATAATAATAATAATAAATGCTTTTATTGTCTCAATGAAACAAAAGGCAGAGTTCAACTCGCCGATAAATCGACAGCTGCTCTTCCACTTATTTTTCTGTTGTTGTGGAAGCAAGTTGAAAACTTTTGTGTGAAGATATGCAAAATTCCTTTGTCCAATTGACTTGTATGCAAAAGTGACTTTTACTTGATGTCCTGTTTTCTGACTTGTATTATATATGTGATCGATAGCATTTAACGAATTCCTGTGTTTGTATATAAATGCAACAATGGATTTGAAGAATAATTGTTTTATGTCTAGCACTCGTGATTCGTTATACAAGGCATCAGTCGGGTAAGCTTGTCCCTTGTTGAGCATTAATTTTATGAAACGTTTCTGCATTTTTTCTAGTTTCTGTATATAGGCTGTTGCCGCTCCACCCCAAGCGAGGATACAATATTGAAGCCTTGATTCTATCAGAGAAGAGTAAATGATTTTCATGTGAAAGGTATCTAATATCTTACTGTAATATTTGAATTTAAATAATATACTTCTCAGTGTTTTTATCACATTACTTATATGAGTGTTCCACCTAAGGTGACAGTCAATCGTGATACCCAAGTATTTAACATCACTAGTAGATTCAATCTTCAAATTGTTACATTGGAATATTCAGGGAGACCGTTTTGATATGGAGAAAAGGCAATGTATTTACTCTTTTCAATATTTATGGTCAATAATTTATGGTCAATAATTTATGGTCAAACCATTCAACAATATTACTCAAGTCGTTCTCTACTTTGATTTTTATATTTTCCCAGGTTTTATCTTCATAGAAAATAGCAGTGTCGTCGGCATAGCTAATAATGCTCCCAGAGCTCCTCAGAGAGGGTAAACTGTTGATATAAATTGTGAACAATATAGGACCCAAAACAGTGCCCTGTGGAACCCCATATTCTACTATTTGTTCTTGACTTACTTCATTTCCTATCTTCACGAGTTGTTTCCTCCCATTCAGATAACTGGATATTAATCGATGTACAGTACCACGAATTCCTAAGTCTTCCAGGGTGTCCAATAATTGCGTGTGACTCACAGTGTCAAACGCCTTTGAGAGGTCGAGGAAAACACACAAAGATGGATTGCTGTTATCCATTGATTTATAAATTTTTTATATTAATAACGAAATGGCATCTTCTGTTGATTTACCCTCTCTAAAGCCAAACTGACTTTCAGATAGCAATTCATATTCCTCAAGAAATTTTGAGAGTCTCTTTTTGATAACCTTTTCGAAAATTTTTGCAAAAACTGAAATCAGAGAAATAGGTCTATAATTCTCTAATATCTGTTTGTCACCCTTTTTATAAATTGGTTTAATAATTGCGACTTTGAATTCTGTTGGACAATGTCCTTCATACATCATTTTGTTTATTAAGTATGTGAGAGCTGTTTCAATTTCTGGAATAATTTGTTTTACAGTTTCTGCTTTTATTATGTCTATACCAGGTGCCTTATGCGTTTTCAATTCCAAAACAATATTTACAATTTCTATTTCATTTGCAGGTGTGAGGAAAATTGAGGATTTATTGATGATATTTACGGGACGAGCTGAGTTTGGCTTGGTTATTTTCGATGCTGAATTTTTGCCAACACTAACATAATATGCATTGAAGGTATTCGCTATTTATACAAATGATATTTCGCGGATTCAATTGCGGATTCCCACAATCCGCCCTGATGAGGTGAACGTGGGGGAATATGGTGCCATCTAATATTATTCTCTCCACAATACTCAGATATTCTATATTCGTTCTCAACAGGAGCCAAGTGTTCAGCAATTTCCACAAGTTCATTATTTGTACCAACGAAAATGGTCGCGTTATCAGACCAAATGTGATCACACAATCCTCGCCTCGATACGAATCTCATCAAGCAATTCAAAAAGGAATCAGTGCTAAGGTCACCCACCTCCATGTGCATCGCCTTTGTGCTGAAACATATGAACATACCCAAATTTCCCTTGACAATGGCTTGATATCATGATTTACCATCTTCTTAGTTGCATAGTCAATTCTACATGTCAAAAATGGTCTACTTGGCGTTATTCTACTTTCGGGTCAGTCTCCCATTTTTTTATTTGAAATTGTAGTCTTTGTACGTCAACATATAATACATTTAGACAATTCCTTTCTGATGGTATTTCTGCCATTGATTGGCCAATAATTTTGCCTGATCATGTATAACAATGTTTTACCACCAGCATGCTAATGTTTGTAATGCTGGTTTGAGATGATTAATCGCGTAAGTGAATGGTCATTTGGTATGATTATTGGGAATTTAGTTTCATAAGATATATGATTCGATTTTTCAAGACTTTCACCAACTCGTATCAAACCATTCTCATCTGAAAATGGGCCTAAGGAAAGTTCTGTAATTTGCATTAGTTTCAATAAAGACAACGAAGCTGCATCTAACTCCTTAATGGACAATTTACCAAAAAATCTGTCATTCTTATTGAGCCATAAATTCTTGTGAAATCTATAACACCAAGCTACTACTTGTTGTAACTTCTGTAACGGGGAATATTTACAAAATATCGACATGTCTACTACCTCACAAAGTAACGTGAATGTGACGTTCTTCCGTTCAGGTATTTCAAACGTTTCACTGATTTCTGGTGTTGGCCAAAGCATGGAAACCTTGGAAAACCAATCTGGGCCTATCCACCATGAACTGAGGTCCCCTAACTGACTAGGCTTAACACCCCTAGAAATTATATCCGCTGGGTTATGTGCTGATATTACATGACCCCATTTGCTCGTTTGTGTCAATTCCTGTATTCCAGCAACGCGATTTCCGACAAAAATCTTCCACTCACTGAGTCGTTCATCTAACCACGATAAAACGATGATCGAGTCTGTCCACAAAAATGTTTTATGAATTTCCATATTCAAACCTAACTTGACTTTTTGAACCAACCATGCTAATAGCAATGTCCCACACAGTTCTGATTTTGGTAAGGTTATTGTTCTCAATGGTGCCACCCGAGATTTGGCACATAACAATTTCACTATAATATCTTCATTATTATTCATTGAACGCAAGTATTCACAAGCCCCGTAAGCCAACATTGATGCATCGCAAAACCTGTGAAACCTGCCAAATTATTTTCGCTCGAATGGTTGTTGGACCTACTAGCCCCAACGGGTCAAAAATCTGCGACACTATGGACAAAATTGTTCGTTTACTCACGGTATTTTCAATTCCGATAATAACAACATATTCCAAAATATCAT